TCTTCTAGAAGCTTCTACAACTAAAATAGGAACTCAAATCATCCAAAGTTAACACTTAGACACAATAACGGATCTAGAATTTTTTTGTTGTAGGGGCAATATGTACAAATTTTACTGCATTAACAATATAATAGAGGGTGTTTCCTTAACAGTGAAGTAAGGGCAATTAAAATATAATAATATATATATATATATATATATATATATATATTAGTAAAAGAAAGTCAAAACATAGTGGGGGCACTTGCCCTTACTCAAATACTAGTGCATCTATCCCTGCTTAGAAGTGATTTTCAAAATTCTATTATTTTGCATGGACACTTTAAGTGGTAAGAGTGTCCAAGCACAAGTGTTCTGTATGGAAAAGCCTCACGCGTTGCTACTCTGAATGCATAGAGTGAACACATGCACTTTGCATAGCTACTCTCAGCGATTAAAGTGTACATGCGCAAGGTTCTTCAAGATTTCTGTTGCTAGAATATTCACTTTCAGCACTTAGAGTTGCTACTCACTGGGTCTTCATAGATTTTTTTCTTCAAAGTGTTAACTCTATGCACTCAAAGTGGTTACACCTAGCATTTATCATCTTATTCTTGCTCTTTTAGGCTCAATCCTTTTACTTTTTCCACTTCAATATCAACTTTAAATTCTCAGCTCAAACTTCTGCACAAAAATTAAATCTTTTTAAATCAAATTGTTCATAATTGGAATAAAATCTAAAATTCTAAACTATTTACACAATTATGAATATTAATGCAATTTTTATGGTACTTCCAAGTTTATTTGGTACTTTACTACTTATTTATTAACAAAAACTACAATAAAATATAGTAAAATGTGGGTTTATCACTATCCCAAACTTAGAATTTTGCTTGTCCTCAAGCAAATCAAATCAACTGAAAGGGAAAGTTCATCCACTTCTCAAAATTCAATCAGCAAGCTGCCTTTCTTTAAGATTTTTCAAATTTCCAATTTTGTGTTTTTTTTATTTCTCATTCTCAATCAAGCTATTTTTCTACTCGTTCACTCTGAACATCACACTGAATTAATCTTATTATAACAAGAGCTTGTCATCTGAGTTCATATAGTTCAACAAAGGTTCTTGTGAGAAAAATTAAGAAACATGATTCACAGCTACAAGTAGTGTTTCCCTCATCACTCAGCAATATTTAGGCTCAATGTTTACTCTCAAAAATCATTTTTACCATACTCCACCATAGGCTTGCAAATATTCTTAATCTCCTCTGCAATTATATAGTAAATCTCATATCAAGAGGACTTTTTCAGGTAAAATTGAGGTTAATGGACAAGTAGGTATTCAATCAATTAGGGAAATAATGTGATTATTTCCAACGAGAAAAGATGCAATTCAAGTAGATGAAAATCAAAACTTAAATTGAGATTGCATTCTTTTTCTCATTTATTAAAATATGGATAGAATTTCAGAGTTTTTACAGCATTTCCATGCATCATTCATGTACAGAATTCCTTTTCAATTCTTTTTCATTTTTCACACTTTTTAACACTTTGCTTTTCATTTTTCTTTTCAAATAACTTAGATTATGCTGCTGTTCTCCACCCCAAACTTAAAACTTTGCTTGTCCTGAAATACTATCATATAAAATGCCACCGAAACTTAGCTTTAAAGATCATCTTTAATTAAACTCAAATTGCCTCTTTCTAATTTAGACAAGTCTAATGGTTTTTCAGTAAGGCTTATATTGAAGTTTTACAAAAGAAAAGGTTAAAAGCTCAAAAAGGGTGAACTACGATTCTCAACATAAAGGATGTTCATTTAAGCTAACTAAGCTTGATCAAAGAAGGCCTCTGTCATACATGTGAGATTTGTAATTTACATATTCAATCAAGAAACAATGCAAGTTCTAGAGGTGCAGTAAAATATGAGATTAATTTCACATATCAAAAAATGCTATGCATGAGGCTCAAGTTTCACTAAAGAATTTATAGGGAACATGTCAATTATTCAAGCTCACAATCCACTTTTCAGAACTATATGTACATAATGGCAAGACTGTCACGACCCCTTTTTGTAAGGAATCGAGAACATTGTTTGTACATCACATACTTATTTAAGATAAATAAATAAAAGAGAATATAAGTATGAAATTCTCTTCTCAATTAAAATAAAACAAAGTTTCTTACAACAAATATCCAACAGAACAATATAATATTACATTTAGTTCATAATATTCAAAATACCCAAAATTATACTATATAGCTCCCTCTACATAAGGTCTCAAATAAATATTTTAGACTCTTGTGATCACTATACACATCAAACTGAGCTCCATAAAGATAGTGCCGCCACACCTTCAGAGCAAAGACTACAGCAGCTAACTCAAGGTCGTGAATCGGGTAATTTCGCTCATGAGTTCACAATTGGCGAGATGCATAAGCTACCACTTAGGGATGGCAATGGGTAAAGTACCCGATGGGCACCCGCAAAATTTACCCACAATGGGTAGGGTATTTACCCGCTATACAGGTACGGGTATGGGTATGGGTAAAAACCCGCAAATTTTAATGGGGATGGGTGCGGGTATGGGTATCTAAGTACCCACCCCGCCCCATACCCGCATATATATATATATATATATATATATATATATATATATGCTTGAACTTTATTCTATAATTATGCATTGAATTTTTGTATTATTATATTACTTATGTGAAGTTATATAATATTAATATAAAAATTTATTTAATAATAAAGTAAACCAAAAAATTTATTTTAGTTTATATTTTTAATAGAAAAATTTATTTACTATTTTATATCATTTAATTAGGCTAACACAATTTAATTATTACATAGTTAATATGAGATTGACTTTTTTTAAAATATTATTTATATATGATACACATAAAATATTTTTTACACAAATATTTTTGTTAATAAAATCATATTGATGTTTAAATTATAAAGTGAATGATAAATAATAAATATATTATAAATTTTTATAAATTTTACAATTACCTACTATTACCGTAAACTTATTATTTATTAATAATATTTAAATTTTATTTTTATATTTTAATTTAAAATAATATTTTTCTATGTAACATATGTATTACAAGTACAACTATAATCTATTGAATCTAAATAATATTATTCTTACTATTTATTCACATTCAAAGAAGTTTTTGAAAAGATATAAATATAAAAAATTATTGTCAATTTTTATTTGTTAATTTTTTTAAGATAAAAAAGTATAACTTTTTTAATATACACGTATATTTATTTATTATAAAATTTTATTGTAACTATTTATCTTTTATTCAAATTCTTTTTTTTTAAATTTATATACATTATAAATATTTAATTCACTAAAATAATTTTTCAAAAATTTATATTTTTGATAAAATACTTTCGTATAGTATATGAGTTAAGAAATACTAGTATTAATATATATATATATATATATATATATATATATATTAATTATATTATATTATTTTAATTAAATCTATTATTTTTCTTACAATTTCAAATTTAAAAGTTAAAAAAAATATTTTATGTATCAACTTTCTGTTGTTAGTATTGAACTTCTCTACTCTAACTCAATTCTCATTCTCAATGTCTGTATCACTAAAACTTAATAACTATGAAATGTTATTCATTAGAGTTAGTTGTTAATGCCGTCACGAGAGGTTACTAAGTGATCCCACACGAAGGGACAACCATCGTACAGATCTATTTTGTTGTCGTTCTAACATTACCAATCAATCAAATCTCACACAAGATAAGATTATTACTGACAAATAACTTATGTGTTTAGTTTTGCTTATTGTTTCTAAGAATTTTAGTTTAGAAAATTATTATATTAAGATACATTTAACATTTATGATCTTTGAATATTTGTTTTTTATCTATATTTGTACCTTGTTCGGCAACTATATATTGAATTTTTGTATTATTATGCTACTTATGTGAAGTTATATAAACATATTTTCTTTATAAATATTTTTTTCTCAAAAAAGCGCGGGTAATAGGTACAAGACGGGTATGCGGGTACCCAGAGGGTACGGGTACGAGGATTAATGTTCATACCCACGCGGGTATGGGGCCGGGTACGGGTATTTTTTTAAAACACGGGTATGGGGATGGGTACTGTAGTACCCTACCCATACCCTACCCATTGCCATCCCTACTACCACTCTCTTATCCTGCATTAACACACATCCTAATCCCTGATGGGAAGCATCACAATACACCTCAAATGGTCAACTAGTGTCAGGGAGAATCAACACCGGCGAGGAAGTTAATCTCTGCTTCAACTCATTAAAGCTTTGTTCACATTCCTCAGTCCATACAAAGGGTTGATCACGGCGAGTTAACCGTGTTAATGGTGTAGCTATCTTCGCAAATCCCTCTATAAATCTCCGGTAGTAACCTGCTAGGCCCATAAAACTACGAATCTCTATGGCTGTCTTCGGCCTTTCCCACTGCAACACCGCTTCAACTTTGGAAGGATCAACTGCAATTCCCTTAGCTGAAATAACATGACCAAGGAACTTCACTTCCTCTAGCCAAAACTCACACTTAGACAATTTAGCATACAACTGTTTTTCCCTTAAAACACTAACTACAGTCCTCAAATGCTCTGCATGTTCCTCTGACGAACTAGAATAAATCAAAATAGCATCAATAAAGACTACCACAAATCGATCCAGGAAAGGTCTAAAGATCCGATTCATGTAGTCCATAAACACCGCTGGAGCATTTGTGACTCCAAAAGGCATCACTATATATTCATAGTGGACATATCTAGTGCGAAAAGCAGTCTTAGGAATATCTTCATCCTTCACTCGGATCTGATGGTACCCAGACTTCAAATCAATCTTAGAGAATACCTTAGCACCTCTCAGCTGGTCCATCAAATCATTGATTTGCGGCAACGGGTACTTATTCTTAATTGTCAACTTATTCAACTTGCGATAATCAACACATAATCTAGAACTCCCATCCTTCTTTTTCACTAAGAGAACTGGTGCTCCCGGAGGTGTACACTCGGCCTAATCATCTGTTTCCGCATTAGATCCTCAATCTGCTCCTTAAGCTCCATCAACTCTTTCGGCGCCATTCTGTAAGGTGCTACAGACACTGGCTTAGCTCCAGGAATCAAATCTATAGAAATCTTCACCTCTCTACGTGGAGGTATTCCAGGAATATCCTCTGGAAAAATCTCAGGGAACTCTCGTACTACTGGTATTGACTGAAGGCTTTGCTCCACTTCTGCATTCATAACTCCCAACAAAACAAAACAAGATACTTCCTCACCTAAGGATGTTTCTACCTGGCGAGTAAAAATTAATTCCACACAGCCTTGCTGCTCAGGAAAGATTAAACACCTCCGGCCACAATCAATTAGCTCACGATTGGCAGTTAGCCAATCCATACCCAGGATCACATCTAACCTTGACATCGGGATACAAATAAGGTTTACTTTGTACTTTTGTCCCTCAATTACTATGGGGCACCTAACACAAACCGTTGAAGTCTTAATCAAACTTAAAGTAGGTGTCGATACTACCAATTCACATCCTAGATCACTCACTGGTAACCCTAAGGTTCTCACACAAATGTCCGGAATAAAAGAGTGCGTGGCTCTAGAATCAAACAATACAGAAAGAGAAGTACCTGCCACTACCGCTGTCCCCTGAACGAGATCTGTCGCCTGGGCTGCCTCTGATGCAGAAGTAATGAATACACGTCCCTCTGCTCTCGATCTAATTCTCGTCGGAGCTCTAGTCGCTTTAGGTCTCATAGCGTGCAAGGCGCTAGCAAAAGACGAAACTGCCCTACTAGGCGCAGGACAGTCCCTAGCAAGATGCCCTGGCTGCTGGCATGAGAAGCAAACTCTAACATCAGTCTGTGGGCACTGGCTCAGGTAGTGTGGCCCACCACATCTGAAACATCTGACAATCTACGGCACTGAGGCTCTAGGAGCAGAAGAAGTTGCTCCCCTAGGCTGAAATGCAGAAGTAGCAGTCCCTATTGGCACTGGGGCTGATGCTGCCGATCCTCTCGAATGAGATGGTCGAGATTGTTGTTGGCGTAGCGACCGACTGTAGGGCCCTTCTTAGCACCCATACTTCCATTACCATAGCTACTAGCAGCTCTACTAGATGGAGCCTTCCCAACTCCACCAACATCCTCTGCATTAAGACTCTCTATAATGGTGGCTTGATCCACCAAGTCAGCAAATTCTGTGATCTTAAGTGGGATTAAAATCCTCTTTATGTCAGTTCTCAACCCGTCTGAAAACCTCTGACATCTCCACTCCTCTGAGGTCGGGTGAGAATAAAATCTGTAAAGCCGCTCAAACTGTATTGCATACTCATAGACTGATGAGTTTCCTTGCACCAAGTTTAGAAACTCCCACTCTTTGGGAGCACGAACATGAGAAGGGAAAAACTTACCCAGAAAACTACTTCTAAATACAGCCCAAGTGATGACTTCACCTCGGGCCTCCAGCATAGCACGAGCTCCGTGCCACCACATCTCTGCATCCCCTGTCAGCATATAAGTAGCATATAACACCTTCCTCTCCTCGGTGCAACCCATAGTTAGGAAGATCTTCCCAATCTCCTTGATCTAGAGTTCAGCAGCATCTGGTCCATCCACCCCTGTGAATTGAGAAGGATCATTCTTCCTGAACTTTGACAACCCATGGTATTTAGGAGGAGGTGCAGCTGAGGCAGTAGCTGCTGCTGCCTGTGCTGCAGTAGCGGCATGGTTTGCAGTTTGCTGTTGCTGAATCATATCTAGACTCTGCCTAACAGTGGCTGCCATGGCCTCCATGGCGTGAGCCATTTGGTTCACGTCAGCAAGAGGAGGGTTTGCAGCAGATCTTCTTGGTCTAGCCATCCTAATATATAGACTAGCTTAGATTACTAACGTTTAACACATTCAGCAATACCACCACATAGCTATATTCATAGATTCAGCTTACAGTGATATATTCATATTTAGTATATCATAACAATTTAATCAGTTTAGCACTGAGGATAACATCATATCAGCATTCACACAGCATAGCAAACACACTTATCTCAGCAATCATTTACAGCTTAGCTTAACAACCTTTTATTCACGCAGCATGAATCGCCTATAGCTCACCCCAGTATCATATACCAAAATTTCCTACATCTGTCGTGTCTGAGAACCGAGGTGATCAAGCTCGTTCCCTCACAACCTGATGATTAGAAATTATGATATATGATTCACAGCTAAAATTCACATGTCTAATATGCACAACTGACGCCTAACAACTTCACCCCGTAGGTTTACCTAGACCATGCTCTGATAGCACTAAAATATCATGACCCCTTTTTGTAAGGAACCGAGAACATTGTTTATACATCACATACTTATTTAAGATAAATAAATAAAAGAGAATATAAGTATGAAATTCTCTTCTCAATTAAAATAAAACAAAGTTTCTTACCACAAATATCCAACAGAACAATATAATATTACATTTAGTTCATAATATTCAAAATACCCAAAATTGTACTATATAGCTCCCTCTACATGAGGTCTCAAAATATATAAGGAAAAGGACTTTGATGCAATATTACTTGACTCCAGCTTCTAACATTTCTTCACTGGCCCCTCAACCTATGAAGTAGATGCAACACCTGCTACATCTGCTCACGTACCACCGTACAATCATCGCAGTACACACGCACACAACGACCTAGAAAGAAATGCAAGGGTGAGCTTACAAAGATAAAATAAAATCATATATATAGAGCAAAATATTTCTCACAGCAATAGCCCCATGCATTTCCAGCCCATCTAATGCACAACATGAAAATGGTTTCCAACTGATTTCACAGCCTAAGTAATCCAGAAGGAACCGAGCCAGTCAGGGAGCGACCCATTCCGGTATCTGGATCCAGACAGCACAGCACAACAGCTCAGCATGAACTTACCGTTACACGTCTACCCACCTAAACATGTGACTCGGCTCTATAATGATGCAAAACATATATCTCAGTATGATGCACACCGCCAAAATTATTTTAACAGCTCAACTAAGGCAAGTTTATAATAGATCAGCCAAAATCTCAGCATTTTAAATCAATTAACAACAGTTACAGCTTAGAAAATAGCTTTTATTCAATAGATCTAATAAAATCATATCAAAACATCTTGAAATAGCATATTAAACCGTTCAAAACATAGTTCATAGGTTAAAGTAAACTCCCCTTACCTCAGAAAGATGATTCACACTAGATCTACCGAATATTACTTGTTTTAATGCAAGATTCACCGAAGATTCAGCTTTAGAACAAAGTTTCTCCTAAGAACACCATGAACTTCTATGAGAAAGAGAAGAAGAAGAGAAACGAATGGTAAATCTAGCTTCAAACTTAAAGAAACTTACTTCAAATCCTTCAGAATGGGCCCAAAATCACAGATCTGCAAAGAAATCTAAGTTTAGGAGGGTTTAATATAAGAGAAAATGGTAGTATACGGCCTTAGAACTTTTGAGAACCTTAAAGAGGAATGAAGAAATGAAAATTTCGTGTGAAGCCCCCTTTTTATAGAAAATTTTTGAAATTTATTGTTCACCGCCAGAAACACTGTTCACTGCCTTACTGTTCATGCCGGAAACACTGTTTAGAGCACTATTCACGCTGGAAAATACTATACACACACTGTACGCGTATGTGACGTCAGCCATGACGTCATGATGATGTCACTGATGACATCAGCAGTCACTGTATATACGCAGTTTTTACTGTTCATACACGGTTTGTACTATTCATACGCGGTTTGTACGCGATTTTACTGTTCACAGGCAGTTTTACTGTTCATACGGTACTGTTCACTTTTTTTTTTTAAAATAATTTCAAACTCTATTTAAATCTATTCCAGTACCAAATAATCCTTCAATTAACATTGAACAAGTATAAAATATTATAGATTACTCAATAATAAATCACTAGCCTGACAAAGACTACCTCATTTTGAAAATTACAAGTGTGATTTCATTAAAGAATGGGAAAAATAACTTAAAAAATTTTAGAATTCACAGAATTTTCAATTAAATGCACCTTAATGTTTAAACTAGTATTTTTGTATTTTTCTAGAAATTTTCCAGTGTATGTGAAGGTAAACTGATGAACAAGAGGTACAGAATTCACCCCCTTTCATGGTAGCTTGTGCAAGTGTCAAAATCCATGTGCTTGGGTGCTGTGAAATAGTGACATATTCTGCACAAAACTCCAAAAATTCCATCAATTAATCAGAAAAATAGAGTAATTAAAATGCAGAAATATAAACCAAATGAAAACTTATACTTCATTACAACTAAGAAGTGTTAAAATTGCTCTGAACAACTGGAAATCACTAACTAAAATTGCAGAAAATAAAGTTCCTAAGTACTAAAAATTACACAAACTGAAATTAAAAGTAAAACAACAAAAACTAAATTCTTAATCTATTCTTCTACATAATCTTCATCTAAACTTTTTTCCTCTTCTTTATCTTCTTCTTCACTTTCATCACTTTCATCGACTTCTCTTGGAGGAGTGTTGAAGCAAGTGTTAGAAAGAGGGAGGTTGTTGAATGTGGTGGCTTTAAGGCATTCGGCATTTTCCACTTCTGACTCATAAAGTTGCTTCTTTGTCATGCCGATCTTCTTACCAATGTTCATCATTATATTTTTCAGTAAGAGAACTCCAGCCTTGTTGCTTTCATGTAAGGCATTCTGCCTCTCAGCTAAGGAATCCTGTCTGTCCAGAATTTTTTGCAGCTATGTCTTAAGTTTAAAAGGAGAATCCTTCTGAAACTTTGTAGGAATTGGTGAGCGAACAGTGATTGGGGTAGTGGCATATATCTTCTTGATCATGGCTGCTATAATGGGAGGAGTGGCCTTCATTTTCTCATGGTATTCTCCAAGATTTACTCCTCCATCTTCACAAAGTAGAGTAATTAGTCCTGAAAATCCCAAGGAATCCCTCTTTGTTTTCAGAATTACCTTGATGCAACTGTTGATCACTTCTCCCACATTGATGTAGAAGTCACTAACTATGACAAAAATTAGGTCAGCTCTCTTGACAGCAATGGTGGAGCTATGGATTACTGGCATGAATGAACTAAGTATGAAAATACTCCATACTTTTGCAAAAGAAAATAGATTTCTAGTCAGAATATTCTTTGGTGTAGAGATGTTTCTAGCTTCATCTCTTGCACTCAACTCCCATGTGGTTCCAGGTCTGCCAATTCTATGGAGGATTTCAATGTAATCCTTATCCATAATTCTCCCAAAATTTGAGAAATCTTGCTATCCTTCTTCCTTCTCAACAGAAATTTTCATAACTTTATTGATGTTCTCAGCAGAAAAGTCCACCACAATGCCTCTAACAGCAGTGCAATTAGGAGACAAATGTTCTCCCTTGGTCCTTAAGGCATTAGCATAGAAGAGTAATATCCTTGGACCCTTTCCCAGCCATGGTAGTGAAAATCTCCCAGCCTTTTTTCTGAATTTGTTTAGAAAATTCAAGGTGTTCTCCTTCAGCTAGATCAAAATTTCTATCTTGAACTACTTCTTCCTCAAGATGTTAGCCTTAAAATAGTTCTCATGTGCAATACTCCTGAATCTTGGGTCATGATCAGGTATAGTTCTTGAGGAAGGACAAGCTAAGAATCTTCCCCTCTTTGATCTTGGAGTTCCTCTTGGTGTGCTTGCCATGTTCTTTGCTGAAATCACAAATTAAACAAAGGAAGAGTGAGTTTATTGTTATTGCCAAATGTGCAGGAAATATTTCAACAATTATAGCACTTTTTCTATCTCAAAACAAAGAATATATTGTCCAGAGAATGTGTGCAATGTTAACAATTCATCAACAAATGCAGATCATCAATTTCAGCAATGTATAGGTGCAAAATGAGTGTTCATGCTCAGCTCAACTCTTATTATTTATGTGCAGTGTACTAGTATGCAGTGTAGTATGATCAACATGTGCAGAATCAAAATTCAATGGTAAAAATGTGAAATTCATAACCAATCAGTGTAGTGCAGCAAATTAATAATTTCAGAATACTTTGCTCAAATAGTTTCAACACCAAAAATCACATTAGTACTTATGAAATTCACTTTGAAAATCCTTTTTGTACAATTGATGTCAAGACCCCTTTTATAAGGAACCGGGAACATTGTTTCTACACCACATACTTATTTATGATAAATAAATAATAGAGAATATAAGTATAAAATTCACTTCTCTATCAAAAATAGAACAACATAATATTACATTTAGTTCATAATATTCAAAATACACAAAATTATACTATGTAGCTCCCTCTACATGAGGTCTCAAAGTATAAAGAAAAATGACTTTGATGCAAAATTACGCGACTCCAGCTTCTAACATTTATCCACTGGCCCCTTAGCCTGTGAAGTAGATGCAATACCTACTACATCTGCTCATGTACCATCGTACAATCATCGTAGTACACACGCAAACAACGACACAAACAGAAATGTAAGGGTGAGCTTATAAAAAATAAAATAAAATTGTATATATAGAGCAAAATATTACTCACAGCAA